TCAGCAGGACAGTCAGCGCTTGGCAAAACTGGTACCTATGAACTGAGCAGACAACAGAGAGCTCATATGTGACTCCAGAGCTCAGCAGTTAAATGGTTCTGTCTCCAGCTTGGGCCAGCATGTTTTGTACAGTCACTGCAGGGAGAAAGCGATGGGGGAGGAGAGGGCAGAGGCTGGTGCTAATGTTTTTAATTTCTCATTTACTATCAGGCAGCACCATATGGAGCAGAATGGAGCATATAGAGGGAAGAGGGATGGATGGCATTTTTCCCCTGAGCTTCTTGTCAGAAGACAAGGAAAGTGAATTCTCTGCAGGTAGCTTGAGCCTTGCCAGAAAAATGGCTTTTATGATTGCTAATGGTGGTGAGGACATTTTTTTAATCAGACACGTGGGCTTTTGGATTTTTTTTGTTGTTCTTAATAGGATGAGTGGGATTGACTTATGCCACTCTAATATTTTCATAATGTCAATGCATTATTTTCTTACTGCATTCAGAAGTAGGCTAGGCACTTGTCACAATCAAATATTATTTATTTGGAGACTCAGTAGGATGCCCAGGCATCTGAATGCATCTAAAAGAAACACTGCTGCTTTGACTGATTGTGCAAGGGCACTTCTCCTCCCAGCTGCATCTCATCATCTCCGACTGCTAGCAGACCTGTGGTGAACAGACACGCTTTCCACTGCTTGACTGCTTCGCCTCTGACATCTCTTCCTCCCACAGGTTGCATCACCTTTTTTTTTTTTTCCAGTGACCACTCAAAGGCAAAAGCTTTGCACTTGCTCAAAAGCCACAGGTTTTGAAAGTGTGGGGAGGGAGAAGAGCCTGCCAGAAAAGTGATGGCCCTTGAGGATCTTGTGTTGTAACTTCTGTGCAGAGGGTGCTTGAGAACTCGTGGCATCTCTGAACTCCTCTGTAACATTAGGAAGGCACAAAAGATGTGGGTATGAGTAAAGGCTTGGGACAAGCTTTTCAGTAAAGCATCTCCTGAGGGCTGCTTTAGAGCTGTGACATCCTGAAACTAAAGTTCTGCATGGTCTGTGTGAACCAGGTTGCTTTGTGTCTGCAGAGAGGCCCCCAGCAGAAAGCCCCTCTGGTCCCTGGGGGATGAGACCAAAAATTGGGTGTGTTTTGTGTGCGTGTTTAGACACACAGTGCTCATCCAGTTCTCCAGTGCCTCTGCTAGCAGGGTGCCTCTTGAGCCCCAGGGAGCAGATAAATCTATTGGCACAGCTACTTCAGCTCCCCTCCAGCCTCACGCTCCCTTGGCTCAGCATGCTGCAAATTTAAATGATTTAGAAAGCATTATTTGCCAGCTTCCCTCTTTAATAGGGATTAGTGTATCTTCCATCTATTCCTTGTGCTGAGGTCATTGTTTCATAGCTGCACGGCTACGACCTCATGACTCCATCTCTTAATTGTGTTTTAGGACTACTTTCCTTATCCATAATGGATTTGCAGTGCAGTCAGAAATGAAAAGCGGTGTTTGTAAAATATTGGGTTGAAGGTAGCTCAGAAACCCCTCCCTTGAGTCTGACATCTCCATTGACAAAAGATAGGCATGCACGTCAAATGTTCTTGGTATGGTTTTGAAAAGGAGAGGTACTTGATGTCCAACTATTGATCTTCCTTTAGAAGTTTTACCTTGTATGATCCATTCTCAAAAGCCTCACCGTGTTCTTCCCAAAAGTAAACAGCTATTTAAAACAGGTCATTGTGTGCTAAGGGTCTTGGCTATCCTGTGTATTCAGGTCCTTCGAGCAGCAGCAGATATTTGAAAAAGCCTTCTAATGGAGAGGGCAATGAAGTGCTGTGATTGGTTTCAAGCTGCTGCTCCTGCCATGAAGTCTCTGTAAACCCAGAAGAAGTGTTCATAGTCCTCAGAGATAGTGGAGGAGAGTCTGGTGCTCCTCATGTGTATGGGCTGGGGGAAATTAGCACAAAAAAATCTAGGAAAAAGCCTGATGTGGTTACAAAGCCCGTCCTGGCTGGTCTTGCAACACTTCAGAGAATACACAGTCCCTCTCCTCCATTATGTGACTGGGACTGTCTCCTGTAGAGCCTGGCACCTGCCTTGGTCGTGGCATTTGAGACTTTTCTGACTCCTTGCGCTGCACGATGAATTGCTGGGGCAGGGAGGGCACGTGAGGGCCCACATCCCATGTCCCCGGTCACGGCTCACTGTCCCAGAGTAGGCAGTAGTTGGTATGCTTGGGTATTGAACATGTGGAAAGCTGCTGTCACTCTGCATGTGTGTGTATTTCTTGCCTCTGCATTGTAGCTGTCTCTTCATGTTGCATCCTGGAATTGGTATGAAGGAACCTGTTAGCCTTCTGAAGAGAAGCGTGTGCTGAGGAATCTGTCTCCTGATTAAAGCAGAAGACTCGGATTCAGAGTTTGTGACTGGCCTTCCCTTTGAGTTGTGACTATTCAGTACCTTACTTTTTTAATGCTTGTGCTGCAAGGTGGATGCAGTACCCGAGTCAAAGCACTGCGGTGAGTTGTGGGGCTTTGCAGGGACACCCTCAGGTAACGCACACCAGGGTACCCAATGTGTGTATTTCTGAAAGTGAGTGAGACCTGAGCTGAATCACTGAATGTTTGCCAGTGCACGTTTGTTAAATCAGCTGGGAAGTGTTTAGTGTACATGCTCAAGCTCTCAAACTTCTGAATTTGTGCAGAAGAAAGGCTTGTTTGGACTCGTTGCTACTCTGCGAGAGGTGCTCGCTTCCCTGGTCCGGCTGGCCGCCTTCCCAGGTGGTGCATCCAAGTCCCAAGGCAGCAGTCGCAGATCATGCCACCTCGGGGAGAGGACCTGTGCTGCGCACAGCGTTCACGATTGCAAGGGAGGAGACTGGAAGGAGGCTTTCAAGGAACCAACAAGAAAGGAGGTAGGTGACCTTGAAATGAAAGGGTCTTTATCCTATTTCTAATCTGAACCTTGCTGGATCAAGACTGGCTGAAAGTGATTCTCTTCTACTGGTTGCTCAATGGACTGTGTGAAACATAATTGACAGATTTGGCCGTGACGTTACCAAGTCTTCAGGCTTCCTGTGAGTAACAGAATTCTGGCCCCTGCTGTGTAGAGCCTCTCTTGCTATAACATGAGGCAGTGCTTACTTTTCGTGGTATTTTGGGGGAGGCAGGCAGTTTTCTACCCCACACAATGACTTGCAGCTGAGAGAAACAAAGCTACAAGCTCGTGGGCTAAGTTTAGTCTGTTTTGTTTGCTGCACGTGTCTCATGAGACTACATTCATGCAATTTATATTAACATTCATCCTTCATTAAGATGGCATTGTGTTTTTTTTGCATAATATGAAGTTATGCCAGATGACGTTAGCAACAGGCTGCAGGAGCTAGAATCATCCCACCTAGCTGTAGATGTTCAGATGAGGTGGGTCTCAGCTCCTTGTAGTTAAAGCAGCATTTGTGCTTTGAGAAGGTGATGGTTTTGGGCCCTGCAGAGGGCCACCTGGGTCTCCATTGTCAGTGGGGAGAGAAAAGGGTGATGAGGCTCCTAACTTAGGCTCCTGGGTGATGAATCTGAAGTTGCACTCAGTGAACCTGAGTTGAGATCTCTAATAAAGGAGAGGTCCCTCACTGTCACTGCAGCCACAGGCTCTCAGAGGGAAGGTCAGGTGGTTGTGCCTTCCTAGGTAGCAGGGCATCTACATGCAAGGAGCATGTGGCTCGCCTGGCAACTCCATGGGGATTAGGACAAGGTGCTGGCTCTCCTGCTGTTCCTGGCCCAATGTTTGGGGGCAGGCTCTTCAGCTCAGCTGGAATCTCTCAGCATTTCGCATCCTTGAGACCCAGGCTCAGTTCCTGCAGATGATTTGTGTGGGTTTGTTGCTGAGTCTCGCTAGCCATCAAATCCCAGTCTGCCTCCAGAGGCCATGGGCAGAAGGGTGACCACTGTCTTTGGCAGCTCGGTGTTTGCATGTGGTGACTCCTGCTGCGGACTGGCTCACTTAGAGGAAAGTGTGATAATTCTATGCTTCAGGCTCACAATTTGTTGGTCACTTTTCAATGTGCTTTAAAAAGAGGATATGAAGGACTGAGGCATCGTTGATGGGATGCACACAGGAGCATGGGGCAGGAAGGGAGGAATTCAGCTAGTGGAGCTCATCAGGTGCTATCACAGGTGAAATGTACTATTGAGACAGGGCTCTGCATATTTTGCTGGTGCTAGTTTTACTGCAGTGCTTTCCACATTTAATGGGGCTAAATGAGGCTGTCTCTTCAGGAGTGTCTCTGTAGGAAACACGCTTCCTGCGTGCCTAGAAACTGCCTAGCTCTGCTTGGGTAAGATCTGAACAGGTAAGTCTAGAAAATAAACTATTTTTTTGAGGCAGCAGGTATTTTCTGCAAGTTATTTCTGTGGAAATGGGGCACATCTTAGGCATTGCCAAGGAGCTCTGTAGTATTCAAGACTGGCTCTCCAGTCTGAGCCTTGACTTTTTCAGTTATGTCCAGAAGTTCCCATTCAATGGATGTTTACTCTAACTATAAAGTGAATTTGCATCTCCTTTCCAATTCTCTTTTTTCCGGTGTTAGTCTGTTGCATTCCCCTGAGACATATACCTGACCTCTAAATTGATCCAACCTCTGTTTTTGGAAGGGAGACCTTGCTGCGTTTTGCTAGGGATCCCGTAGGGCAGCACTCTTCCAGGAGTGAAGTTTTATTGCAGCTAAGACACGTGATTTGATCAAAGGTTTTATCCCATGGTATGAAAACACTGCTCCCCTGCTCCTGCCCCCAGGAGCGTAGCTTGGGCACTGCTTGCTCTCTGCGCTCGGAGCTTCAAACCAGCAGTGAGGGGAAAGAAAAAGTACAGGTGGCAAAACCCAGTAAAGCAGCAGAAGGAGCAACAGGTAACGAGAGGGGAAGCACATTTACTTTGCAAAATCTTGAAAGATCTTTGGATGCCAGAAGAGGTGGCTGAGGAGGGACAGAGGTTCTTCAGGGCAGACAATGAAGTCCAGCCCCATGGAGCACCGTGGGATCTTGCTTGAAGCCCTTCGTTACCACCTCTTCCTTGACATCTTCCTCTTCATCCTCTTCCCAAGGCAGCTGACACAAAGCAAAGTGAAGGGACAGCCTTTTTCCACAGATGCTCCTATGCTGACTGCTTAATTTAGCAGCTGCTTTGGCAATTGGTCAGTGCCCAAAGCTGTTGAAAGAAGCCTCTGTGCGGTGAGGGGAAAAAATAAACAAATCAAAGGCTTCATTAGGGAATGAGCCCATCAGTCGTGGCTGGGGGTGAAAGATGAAGCCCTTTGCTTTCCAGGGGCTCAGTAGTGGGTTTTCCTGTCTTGTATCCTTTGCATTCGCCTCACCTTGGAGTTGTTGCTGTTGACCCTGGTGTAGCTGCCACACAAGCATAAATTGGATGAGAGCTAATTAACTGTCAAAACCCAGGGCAAAAGACAATAAACCCCTGCTTCACCTCCTGGTGGGTTTTAGTCTTTTCTCTTTGATGTGACAGCTTGTCCTCCGCTCCTTTTGCAAACAACTCACCATTGCAGAGGAAATGCAATACAGCAAGGCAATCACTTATCACCAGTGACAGCAAATAAACATGAAAAATGGGCTTTGAAATACTAAGAGACAATGATCAGAAAGGTTGCTTCTTTCATTCTAAATCACGATGTTTAGCACTCAGCTGTAGTGTTATAAGTTATTTATAAATGTCTTGGCTTGTTAGGAAATATATGTTTTTATATAAAGATAAATAATGTTTTTAATCAGATGATAAATGCACACGTTCTGTGTGGGGAGGGGGGAATGCGGAGAAACCAGGGCAGACTCAGTGTAGTATCCTCATGTCTATGGGGAGGCACCTAACCAAGGGAAATATTGCAAAGTGACATTTGCTCCTAGGCACGTGTCAAACATGTTTATATTGCAGGAAAGCTAATCAAAGTTTCTGATGAAACAATTTTCTGTCAGAAAATGCAGTTTTGTCAAAATTGGAATGTCTTACTGAGAGGTGTCAATCACACAGATATTTTCAACTGAGGAACGGTTTTGGTTGCTTTGGTAAGGTAAAATACTTGTTTCCGTGTTTGTTTGGGTTCTTCACAAAATGTTGATATACTTTAGCAGAATTTAATATGTTATATTACATTGACATTCTCAAAACAAAATGTTTAAATGTGTCAATATGGATGGGTTCAAAACCGGATCTTTTTGAATTGTCAGTTCATGAGAAATTTTAGATTTTTTGGTTCTGAGTCAGTGTAAAAACATGCCAGAATGTCAGTTTCTCATATGACAGAAGTTCTGTTTTTCACTCAAATCCAATTATAGCATTTAAACTTTGAAATTCAAAGAAGCAGAGAGAAACAGGAGGCAGGAACAAGACATGTTAAAATCACCCTTTTTGCCCCCACATAGACACATGAATCAGCTTTGGCAAACTCAGCATTTTCCAATGTTATTATTGGAATATTGGTGTATGATTATTTCCATGCTATTGTAGGCACATTCCTAGCCAGGCCCTGTGGGGATGTATTTCTCCTGGGAAAGCTCAGTCCCTACACTCGGACGCTGGATGCACCCTCCTCCTCCCACTGAAGCAGGGCTGGTTGTGGATTCTCCTTTCTGTTGCTTGTGAAGGTCTTGGGTCATTTTGCTGATTAAGTGTTTAGATGTAATGAAAGCTCCTGTTCTCTGGAGGCTCTGGAGCATCCTGCTGACTGGGGGCTGTGCTGCAGAGTCCCAGGGTCCTCTGTACAGTGAGACAGCCCCAGAACTGGGAGGGCAGAAGGCGGCTGTACCTAAAATGAATGACGCCCACAAGCAGAAATGGTGCCTCTGCTGCGCTAGTGGCTTGTATTTAAAAACAATTCCCAAGTCTTCCACGTGCTATTTAAGTGTGAGCGTGCTTGTGTGTGATTTGTTTTCTTCACAAAGAAGTTGTAACATACTTTGAAGCAGTCTGTGAACAGTTCTAAGTTCATCTGTTCAAGGTTTTGTTTATCTTGCCCTAAGGTCAATAGGTGTAATACCTTTGGAAGGCTTTTTTTGAAATAAAGCTTCACATTTCGTAAAACACACAGGCAAAGTCATAATACAGGAAAAGCCAGGCTGGAAGTAAGATTACAACATTGCCTCAGCACGCACCCACTTGCCACTGAGCACACTTCTGGGCTGTTTGAGCTGCTTCGAGGTTAGGGCAGCCTGGCTTAGAGAGTCTTTAAGGGGGGAAATATAAATCACGCTGAAGTGAGGCTTTTGACAAATGTGCTGAACACAGATTTATACTACGTAAGATGATGTTTGGTATTTGCAAATAAATTTCTGTGCAACAAAGGCATTCTCTTACTTAATTACATGATTTTGACAGGTGTTACTCCAGGAAGAAAATAATGTTGCCAATCGTTGCAAGCCAGCCTGAATAGGAACTTGCTCTTACTCTCCTTTTCCACACTATTTTGAATTATACTGTAATAAATTTGGGGCAGCTTGACTGAGTTTGCTGGGAAGTGGCTTTGGATTTATACAGGTGGAATTAAATAGTGAATTGGCCAGTTGCATTTGGATTTGTTGCTGATTTAGACAGCTGGCAGGGGAGCAGGTGTTAACACTATTTGCTAATCTGAACTGCCAGAAATGGGAGCCCAGACTAGGTAATGACATTGGGGAAGTGATAAGACGCAGGAGAGAGCAAGATGTTTCTTGAAAATGTGCCATATATCCCAGCCTTTCTAATCCCCATGTCATCATCTTCAGTGCTGCCGAAAAATGTTGCCGGAGAAGCCATCAAGCCCTGCCGATGTACTGGGGGTGGGACCAGTGTAATGTTGGTGTGGATGCAGTGCAAGCTCCTCATGTAAGTGTGCGGTACCATTTCCATCTCTTCAGCAATTGGTTCATTAGTACC